GCTTAAGTGCCTGAACAAGTGTTTTTTGAGCACATAATTCTGGGTTTAACAGGCGTATGATAATTGCCTCGGTTGTTGCTAGTGTTTTAATTGGAACAGCCTTGGATTTGTGTTGTGGAACGCGATAGATGATGGTGAAAGCCGAAGCAGTGTGCAACAATGGAACTGGAAATTACTCCGATTCCTCGGTGTCTAAGCCAGGTGGGTTGATGTTCCTTAATGCGTTTAGATAGCGGCCTTATCGTACGACGTACATACGTGGCACCACCGGTGCACTTAAATTGGTAGATGAGCATTGACGAGGTCAGCATAGGCAACTTATCCTTGGATGATGTGATTCATCGGACAGGATTAAATCCTAAATACGATCACATGCTTTAAGGTCCAGGTTGACAATAGAATCGACCAGTGCCACATAAGGGACAGCTCCATGTCTAGATATGCTTTTCAAAGAGGACGTAATCTTTGTGATATTTTTAGACAACAGACCGGAGACGATTACGACAATGAAGTGGGTTCAACTACAAAATAAACGCACGGGAAAATGAATTTAGAAGTTATTTACAGCGGTAGCCTCAGATGTGAAAGGCTTGAGTTGCAAAATGTCGACTTTTCTACTTTATAAAATGTTTGTTGTACATGATGGGATCAGGTGCGGCCAGCAAAAGCAAACATTCAAGGTACTTAAAGTACTGTAACCTGTAAGCGTTTGAGTTTTCAGCCCAGATATTGGAAACGAGCAATCCGGAATATGATGATAGTCTACTGTTAAGGGAGAACAAAACTTCAATTTATTTTGGTTCGGTTTGGGAAAAAATAACACTGTCGGACTATTCGGGAATGGAACTTGTGACTGACTGAAGGGGGGGGGAGGAGGTTGATGCTACGGTTGTTGTTATTTCCTTCTAATTTTACTTCCTTTTTATTGAATACACAATTATACAATTTTCAGGAAGGGGGAAGTGGCTGCCATGGGGGAAGTCAGGCGGTGGTGGCGGGGTTCGAACACACATCCCCGAAGTGATAATTTGGTGACATTACCACCGGGCCACCACCGCCCTAGATAGTTGTTGTTGTTGTTTTTGCTGGCTGCACCTTAGACCCTTTCGTTGTCGGTAAAATTAAATAAAACTATTTGGATCCCGTAGTGAATTTGAACAAGCAAGTCAGAAGACAAACACTACGCGAGAAGAATTCCTTTCGTATACTCTCATCCGTCGCGTACGTATAACATCGAACAAGATAGACCAATGAAGCGAATTAAGAAATCTAGTTAGTATCAACCATGTGTGTGTGTGTGATTGTATACAGTGTGTGTGTGATGCACATGATTGGTTACACAGCCAGGGAAGGCCAAGAGTAAAGGGCATGGTTAGGGACGAGAGTATACGAAAGGAATTCCTCTCGCGTAGTGTTTGTTTTCTGACTTGCCTGTTCAAAATTAAATAGGATTTGCACGTTCAAGCTGAGTCCTTTCATTCGACTTTGAGTCATCTATTTTCCAATTTTGTCCGGACTTCTTCTTCCATAACACCCGATCCGGATTTCGATGCGTGGCCTCACCACACGAGCGTGGAATACAAATGCACTGTTGTGAACGATATGTGAAATAAAACTTGAAATGGCTAATTTAAACTAGTTTACCGTTCAAATGTGTGCACATATTTTGTGATTAATCACGCGGGAAGTATTTTCAAAAACCCGACCCCCAAAACACATATATTTATTCGAGGCATTATGGTTTTATCCGTTTGTAAATTATATCTGAAATTACAATTTATATAAAACCACTAAAAATGAGCATTCTAGTTGAGCTTCGTTCATATCTCTCCGCTCTCAGTCCACTTCAATCCTATGTGAAATAAGAAGAATATTCGAGCAATGTTGGGGATGCCCTCCCATGGGGACGTGCATTTTCTTTATTTGCTTATAGAGCAAAATGTCATCGTGTCTAACCCCTTTCATTCCATCCTACTTCACAAGAACGGATTATCATTCTGGTCATGTATGACGGTCTTTTTTAAATTGTTTTCATTTTATTTTCCTTGTTTGTTTTTCAGGGAAGATTACAACTTACGACTACGATTCAGTACAAAAGCCAGTGATGGTCTTCTACTGCTGATCTCCGCACAGTCCGGTGACGTAACACAAAGTTACGTGCCATCGAAGGAGACAAACTTATCGGAAATCACTATCATTGAAATACGTCAGGGCTATGTTGAATACAGTATTCACTTGCCCATTAGTGGGACACAATATCGAGTCGGATCGAGAACGGTGCTGCGTATTCGATCAGATCGTTCTATCACGGATGGACAATGTCATACTATTCATATTGCGCGGTAGGTTCATACGAGTTAATTGGGTACAATTGGTTCTTTATCAGTTAGCCATATGAACCGCGTACCGAATGCGTGCTTGATGTACTATATGGGGCATTTCAGTACTTGATATAGTAGAGGACAGTATCGAAATATGTATGCGCTCAACCCTCACTTTGCGGAATGCACGTCACGGGTAATTTAGCAATAATGACTAGGACTTTTTGCGCTATAGGAAGCATAAAAAACCAAGTATTTCCAAATCGATCAAACTCGCTATTCAGCAGCATAATGCTTTAAAAAGTTTGACCAATAATGCGCGACGCTACATCGTAAATAAAACAATCAACGAATGTAAACTGACGGAAGTGTATGCAACCAAGCAGTTGAGCTTGGAATCTGATAAATATAGTTGCAAAATTGCGGTCTGGACTATCATCCAGCTTAACACTCGCTTGGCGGCCAGACGGTCTGTGAGCGTGTGTTTGTGGCTAAGTTTAATCGTCTATCAACTAAGCTCGGTAGCAACTGGATGGATAGTCTGATTCACCAATACCAACTGTCAATTCATCCAAGATGGAATGTCAATTGTGACGCCTCAGTAGACATTGCGACAAAACAAACTGGAGGAGGAGGTGGTGGGGTTCCACATCGAGGAAAGTGGCAAACAGTGAGCAAAAGGAACAAGTCAATTGTGCGAGCTAGCCGCCCTCATTCATTTGCTGTTTGGGTCTGTGGAACGCATGATTCGTTAGACCCCCTGTCAAAATTTCACAACAAATCGACACTGTTCACCATTCGCTTGCTACTTCAACGTCTTGTTTGTACGTGTGTTTTTCTCTCAAAAAGTATCAATTGATGCAGTTCTGGTGGCATGTCTAAATTTTCGAAAACAGTGCATTGATTGTACAATCAATAAGATAAACTGATTGTATAGCAAATTTGTTTACACTGCGGTGGTAGACAAACTAAGATGAAAAAATGCTAGTATCCTCCCGGACTGTAGTTCTCTGACTTTCAATGTCGGCTGCATCACAAACCTTTTTTGTGCGTACGCGGTCTGGAGAGATGTAATCTGACAAGCAGTTGAGTTGTCAAAAAGAACAGGAATATAAGGAAAGTAAAACAGAATTCGAATTTCAAATGCAAATTCAATCCCACTAAAAAAACTGCAATGATTTCCTTATGTATTTCGCTTTTATAAACCCAGATTGTGTAAATCGAACAAAATGCAAGACAAGAAACCTTGAAACTGTGAAACAAATTTATGGTTCTTTGTAGGTGGGATAATGTTACGTGGCTTAAACAATACGGGGTGATTTTCTCGAGTAATTCACAACGGGAGTGCTTGGTTAATCGAAACATCATCCGCATTCCAGACAGTTTTAGCTTTAGTTCATGAGACAGTGATTGATTCATCCGTGTTGCCCAGTATGACCAATAGAGCTGTTGACCATCTGGCCGCAAATATATTTTGAAGCCCTAGTCTGCATCTTCTGGGGAGGTTTTGCAGTGAAATTTCAAATCAGCTCGTATCAAGTCGTATAACTGATGCCAGCTCAATCTCATTAGGCTGCATATGATTCGTTATATTTAGTGTCTGATTCGCGAGTATTGATCGACCAAGTGTTTATTGATCGTATGTTTCATGCACTGGCTTTGTTATTCGATTCGGTGGAATGATTATCAGTCCGTTCTGGTTCAGTGACTTGTGTGTTCTTCCCGATCGGAGCTAATCAGACCAGGTGTGTACACAGTAGGTTTCAAATTAGCGTTTTTCAACAACCCACTTGAGTGAGGGCATCCGTCGCAGCGATTACTGTGAATGTGAGTTCTAAGCAGATACTATTGGAACGTATTGCGTGAATGTATTTCTTTGACGACAATGAAGCTTCGTACATCATTTAGAAAACTTTAAGGATTCAAAACATACGTTTTGAGGATAACAACGGTACATTGAAATGCTGTAATAACAAAGTTGAATAATCGATTTTCCCCGAGTTGCAATGGATAACAACCGAAGTGATATATTTTTTTGACACTTCGTAATCTTTGACAAGAAAGCTCCGTAATTTCTTTTTGCACCCACGTATTTATTTTCAGAAGCCAAAAACGAGCCACATTGATTACGGACCATCATATGGTATCTGGAGAATTTCAGGATACCTATTTGAATTACAATCCGAACAACGTCGTCTTTTTCGGTACGTCCGTTTTGTAGCCCTTGTGTAAGAGCACGGAAAATAACTTTTACCACAACTCCGGTAAACGGTGTTCGACTAAATCTAAAATGAATGAATTCACATTTTACCAACAAATTCTACCCCATTGGTCTATAATTATTCCTGGGCGATGAGATTGTGACATTTTCATACATGTTGTACACCCAGGGTTATAGCATACAATGTGTGAGTGGATACCTAGTTACGATTGATATAACCGTTCAATTGAAAATAGTCTTCTCTGTTTAGTACCACCTAAACTGTCGTAATCCATTCAATCCCGTGTTCCGAATTCGGGTGTATTTTTCCGGATAGAGATCTGCTCAACCAAGAGAAGCTAACAGGCCCAACATGGGTTTGTTTTAATGCAGGTGAGTAGTTCCTTGGTTAGGATAAGTCGGTCTCGTGACGATCGTGTAATTCCATAAAAGTTGAGTTTTAGTAGGATATCNAGGATATCCTCATTGTCACACGTTTTTATCCAAGGGCTCACTCAGTTAGATGGCCGTTGGAACACTCAGTAGACCTTGTCCGTCCATGCCTTCGTGTATTGCACAACACTTCTTTATAGATTTGTAGCTTCAGTTAGCCTCAACCTAGTTTAGCTCACTATTTGATCGGCTTGCTGGGCATGCCCAACCTTATCCAATCCACTGGTAAATGATAGAAACCAAGGGATACTACATTTTCATATAGGGACTTCGTTGTGCATAGAACGAATGAAGTGTGGACTGAAAAGCTAGGAAGCAGGGGATCGAACTCGGAACTTCACAGGCAGAACGTATGTATGCGACCTTTTCGACCACCGGGCAGCTAATCAGACCGTTTCTCATTCTGAATGTACAAGACATAGCACAACCCATCTATGCGAGCCTGTTGCGAGTATCGGTCCTCGCTCATCTCAGCACTATCCTCCAGGGTTATAACTCGGTCGGAATCTTTCACAATCTGACTGCAGTCTACCAATAGAAAATTAGTATTCATATCCCATAACTCTTACACCATTAAATCTATAGTATATTGTTCGGACATTACTGGGCTTCCTTTAACCGCGGTTTAGCTGAGAAAATGCCTCACGCAGAGGAAGTTTATTCACAATTATATGACACAGCTATCATGTGAGTAAAGCATCGGTAACACGGAGTAATTTTGATCAACTACGCTTTGATTTTTTTGGGTTTTAATAATAACAGTACGTGGAAAAACAAATCCCTTCATACAATACGTTCAATTAAAATACAAATGGCCCCAATTTCATGCGTGATACTGAGAACGTTGTGTCACGTGACGTGAAAGTTAATGAACACTTTATATTGAGAAAGATTAGTAACTTGGTTGACAGAGAGAGAGAGAGAGTAAAATGTGCCAAAATGAAAATTGGTTTGCATGTTTGTGGCCCATAGAGGGATCAGCGCACACATTCCAATCCGCCATTCTCACGTGTCTACCATGGAACTGCTCACTGATAAAACACCGTTAACTCGGGCGAGTTTGGAAGCAGCCAATCAGCGTGCATTTCTGGTTGCTTTTGGCAACCACTGACCGCTACTGAACAACAACGTGGTCCCAATTAGTCACCGGTCAAAAACACATTGGAAATATTATTGTACGACGAATAACACGTTAAATCAATCGTGTTACACTAGTCGGCAGCTGTATTCATAATAGGTGTATGTGTGGGGTGGAGAAAAAATATATTCTGTGATTGACCACGTTCATAATCCATTCTGACAGGCACCGACCGCCTAAGTGAAACGGGATACTTTTCGTATTGTATCATAACAGACTGTTTTTTTTTTCGGCTAATGTCGGTCGGCTAATCGATGTTCACTTGCTAAATTTCTCACATCGTCCATCATTATTCTTCCCTCTTCCACTGTATGCATCCCTGATCACTGTACTGCCAGGCGGCCTCGCGATCAACAATACCGGTTTTCCTAGTGACTATCAGAATTTTACCGGCTGTGTTGGAGACGTGTTTGTGAATGAGCATAGCGTGCAACTGTTGACCACAGCAAGCGAATTACGCGGTCCGGTCGAACCGTGTCAATAATTGACACAAAATCACATGACTTGAGCGCACGCGCGCGCGCGCGCACACACACCTAAATGATAGAGGAACCAGGGTAGACCCAACCACCGTCCGCATACGCATACATCCACATTCCACTACCTGTTCTCATTAAATGCATTTGTCCCCATCCATTCCCTCACACTCATCTGCGAAGCGCCCCTGGTCGGAAAATGGCATACAGCCGGTCGCCGTTGCCGAGGACTAGCCGATCAGTCGCACGGAATTGCACAATAGCGACACGTGTTCGTCCTGGTGTGTGTGTGATCCATACCGCAAGCATGACAGCCTTCTTTTTTGTCTCTTTCTCGGCTTCTCCACTGACTCCAAATTAAACGTACTCCACTACTGGTTATGATGTTCCTTTGTTTGTTATTGTTATTGTTGGTGTTGTTTGTACTCTTAACCGGGATAAGAGATGAACAATGAACGAAACTCACATTTGGCTTGATCTCACTACTTCTCTGTTTGGAGCAAATTCTCCTGCCGCCACAGTCCAATCCGTCCCCGCCCCCTCCCCCCCCCCGTNGTTCTATCCGGCCCCCTTTGCTCGCTTGCTCTTCCGATAGACAAACGCGCGCACTGCTCACGGCTTCATCCCATTCAACCCACGTTCACATGACCCCGACCAGATCATATTCCGCTCAGCAATAATATGAGTGGTGGCAGATGAGCGGGAGGGGGCGGGATGGAGACATTTTAGACGACGCAGCC